TTCTGCTTTTCTGATCTCTATATCAACCACCCGAGTTGGACCGGTCACTTCTCCCTATGCTGACATTTATAGCACAAATTTACACTTAGAGTTATGGCACTTGGCATAATTGTGGTTTGGTCCCTTTGGCTTGCTCTGGGCCTACCAGTGTTCACTGGCTTACTTGGCCCCTGGAAGTCTGTGTGTGTAGGGGCCAAGGGTAAGTCACCCCAGGATATGCCACTTTGGTATGCTAATTATTTCAAGCTGAAAACGATCAGGCCCAAAAGATTCCAGAAGAAACTCTGACCTTCCCCTTAGCCACCTAAAAGAATTTAGGGATAGAGGACTTGTTCCAGGAAGAGAGCTAGCACCACAGATCACTACATTATAATAGGAACTAGATGTGGTAGACAGGGAGGAACCTACCAAGGCCTGTTTGACCAAAGTCCTCTCTCTGTCCCATTGATTCTGAGTGGCCCAGCAAACATTTGTTTACCAAACATTTACTCCTTTTATCTTCCTGTGAATTGCATTCCCTCCCTTTGAAGTCCCAGATCCCTATCCCCTTCTCCTTAGTTCAGGATGACATATATACCTCATTTTGCCTTACTGTCTTTGGAATCTCAAGTTTATGTGGATTCCCTACAAGTACAAAATTAATGTACTAATGTCAACTTGATTCTTAGACCAACCAGAAGAATTTTTAAGGGTAGGGGAAATTTTTCCTCCCCAACATGTGTCTCCTGTGTGTGCCTTGCAGCCTTCAGCTACATGGTGACTCCCCACCCTCTGCCCTAACGTAGAGCAAATTCCTCAGCTATACTCTTAGCAAAATTTTGTGTCCTTCCTAGAAATTTCAGAGGCTTCTAGATCTTCTCTAAGGCCTCCCACTAACCAAAAGTGAGTGGGAAAACTAAGCTTAGGTCCCTTTTTTTTTTTTAAAGATTTTATTTATTTATTTGAGACAGAGAGTGAGAGAGAGAAAGAGCACAAGAGGGGGGAGCGGGAGAGGGAGAAGCAGACTCCCTGCTGAGCAGGGAGCCCCATGCGGGACTCGATCCCGGGACTCCAGGATCATGACCTGAGCCGAAGGCAGTCGCTTAACCAACTGAGCCACCCAGGCACCCTAGGTCCCTTTTTTTAAGCCTAACACCACCTGAGTCACCAAGGTTAATTTGATACAGCTTCTGCCACAAATTAGCAGAGAAATTACAAAGAATCCCCTACCCTCAACACCAAAATATCAATCAAAGATGCAGCTCCCTGCCCTTGGCATTCTCTTCATATTATTTAATATATTTCAGCCCAGAGAGGAAAGGTTAGGATGTCCTCACTCCTTACCTACCCTGCCTCTCTCATCCCTCCTTATCCCATAGTACCTCAAGAAATAGGATTTCATTCCATCCTTAGAGCAGCAAGTCTCATGGAATAGCCATCAGAGGTAGATGGGGATTTTTGTATACCTTTATGGAAGAAACTCTGACACTCTGGTCCAATTCTCCCTGTTTGGTTCTTGATATGCTTAAAATTGGAGAAAATTGTCCCTTCCTCAATAAAATCTGTCTTGCCTATTTCCTACAAAATTCTATCTGCAATGGCAGAAATTGAATGTTAATGCTTTCTGTATATTCTTTACATGCCTACTGTCACAACAGCCTATGAATACCCCATCTCAGCCATATGAATCCCTTGAGGTGTAGAAGAAAAATATATGGAAAAAGACAAAAAAGAAAAACACAAATATTTTTAATACCACTCCAGTTGCATTCATTTTTTTTTTAACTAAAACAGTGGAATATTTTATTTTCATATTTCACAATACAAATGAAAATTGCTTTTTTTTTTTTTTTTTTTTTGGTCCCACTACTCCCCTACCAAAACTATTCTCTCTTTGATGGGAAGGGGGAGCAAGTCTTCCCTGTCATGCTGTTAGAAAACACCCAGAGTCACAGCACCATGATTCCTGGTGAAGTAGAACAAGTAATATAAAATGGATATAAAGAAGTTCCTGTCTCTCCCTATCTGTCTGGTCAAGTCCTTCCTGGACGAGTGGGCACCATCATGGGATGGGCTGACGGTCTCATCACTGGGAGCCCAGGCATCATTGGCAGGTAACCTCCCACAGGCAGCCTCATTCCAGGAGGAGGAGGGCCCATTGTTGGCATCATGGGAGGGCCCGCCAAATGGGGTGCTGGTATCATATCAGGGCGAGCAGGACCTGGGAGACTGGGGGAAGGTAGGATCATTGCCCCTGCAGAAGGAGGAGCAGGGAATGGAGTAGGAGACATCTTACCTTATGTAAATGCAACAGTGGTTTTGTCGATCAGGCCCTGAACTTGCTCTTCCATCTGTTTCTGGTAGTAATTTTCACATTCTCTTTGTGCTTCTGACCACTGCAGTGTGTTTAGGCATGTTGCTCTGCAGGCTGTTGGCTACTCGGTGCCGTGCCACCCAGAAATGACCCAGTTGCACTCACACTTAACAGCTTTAAGTGCGTGCATAGTTTCTATGACTCTTGTATGTAAATATTGCTCCTACTTCTATTTTTTTCTCTAAAACCTTCTCAATTTTGGAGTCATTCTTTTACCCCTTTTTCCACTTAAGAGCTTTTACATTAACCTTTTTCTAGAGCAAGAACAGGTGCATGTAAGTCTTTACTATTGAGATAAAACTACTGGGAATAATTAAATTAATGCCAGAAAGTGTTTTTCATCTTCTTCTTGTCACTTAACAAAACTTTGCTTTAGGTACTGTTTCACTTCTGAGCCATTTTGACCCCAGTTACTGTGATTGTGATGGTCTGATTCACAGTGTATTCAGTGGGTGTGGATTTTCATGGGTGAGAAACTTACCTCCACAGTTTCTCTCTGTATCAACAACAATAATAGGAAGGCTGTGGGACACCTGGGTGGCTCAATAGGTTAAGCATCTGCCTTCAGCTCAGGTCATGATCCTGGGGTCCTGGCATCAAGTCCCACGTTGGGTTCCCTGCTCAGTGGGGAGTCTGCTTCTCCCTCTGCCCCTCCCCCTGCTTGTGTGTGCTCTCTCTCTCTCATAAATAAATAAATAAAATCTTAAAAAAAAAAAAAAAAAGAAGGCAGAACCAAATGCCTAAAAGCTTAACTCTTCTGCACCAAAGAGAAGCAGCATGAGTTGCTCTAAGAACATGTAGAGAAAGCACAGAAATGATGGTGGCTTCTGTAGGCGGTGGGAAGAGCCTAGCTGAGACACAGAAAAGTGCTCATTCTGAGGGAAAACCCAGCAAAGTGTTCGTGGTGGGGATAAAATACACAGTTCTCACTTCCCAACACTGGCTGGGGGCAGGCTCTAGTCCTGAACCCCTGGGCACTCATAGCCGGGCACAGACTTCTTGAAACACTGGAAGCTAAAGCCAAGAAGAACATTAGGATTTGGGAAGTCAAAGTGACCAACAGTCTCTAAAGTTGATCAGCAGCAGACTAATCTGAGAAAGATATTGTCATCAAGAAAAAATTTTTCAACTAGTGTTAATTTACAGGTTCTATGCATCAGACTACCCAACTGTGTCCAAGCACTTGAGAAGATCCTCCTTGCTCTCATGCTGGGACACTCTTCAAGGATGAACACATTAACCCAGATCAGAATAATGCTCCAACCCCACACAAACTAGATATCATGCCATTTTTTCAAGGTGAAAACACTAAGCTCCTAAACAGAAAGCTATTCACCCATGTTCGGGCAGCATTAAACAGTAGAAACAACCCAAATGGGTATGGACAAGTGGATGGATAAACAAAGTGAGCTATCCACACAACAGAATATTCTTCAGTCTTAAGAAGAAAGGAGATTGTGACGCACACTACGACACGAATGAAACTTGATGGATGTGGTAAGTGACATAAGCCAGTCACAGAGGGACAAATACTGTATGATTCCACTTTCATGGGGTACCTAGATATTCAAATTCACAGAGACAGAAGGAACTGAGGTTTCCAGAAGCTGGGGAGAGAGAAGAATAGGAATTCAGCATTCAGTGTGGTAGGGAGTTTCCGTTTGGGTGAGGGAAAAGTTCTGGGGATGGATGGGGGTTGATGATTGCACGACAGTGTGAATGTACTTAGTGCCACCGAGCTGTACACTTAAAAATTGTTTAAAAGGGAAAATTTTATATTATATATATTTTACCACCACATAAACACACACACACACACCCCAAAGTTGTGTCCTTGCACTGAATATAAAAATGTTCATCAGCTATGCTCTTATACTTGCTTATGTATGTGATTTTCTTTCCAAGGTCCCAGTCCTGGAAAGCATACTTTCACCAGTTGTAAACCCACTTCCTCTGCCTCAGGGGCATGCTTCTCAGCCCACATGTTGGATCGGAGGAGGTGAAGGAGGCCCCGGGGACCTCAGTCTCTCAGGCTAAAGCATCTTGCTCTGCCTGTGTCACCTCCCTGCTTCCCCCAGGTGACAACTACTACTCTTGATGACAGCTGACCTCAAAGGGCTCTTTGCCTGCTCAGAAAACAGCCTGATGGTGATGTGCATTAAAGATTCAGAACAGGTTGAAACTTTACAGTGAGAAGCAGGGAAGGTTCAGCCAGGACCCCCTGGGTCTCACCCTAGCTCCTGACTGAGGGACGGAGGTGAAGGGTCCTGATGGGGAAGTTAGGGAATTCTCTAGTTCCTCTTTCCTGACCTTGCACAAGACCACATGAATGCCTTCCAGGGGGACCCTGACCTGCTTGATACCATATTACCTCTGCGCTCAAGTGTCTGCCACGTAATGAGTTGGAGTAAGGGTTACAAACTGAGACAGTAACTCCATCTGTGGCCTTTGAAAGTGCCTTCTATCTGGAATTGGACTGTGACTAGAAACATATGTTGAGGTCCTGTCATCCAGACAGCCCCACTTGCCTGGTCTTCATCCTGGTCCTTCTGGTCAACATCTCATCTGAGTAGGGGACTCTGTATCGGATGTAAACTTCTTAGCTGGATCAATGTAATAAATGGACTTTTTAAAAAAATAAATATACCTTTTGACAAGAATCGGTCAGTCCTGGTGTCCTTGCAGAGCTCATTCATCTCAAATCTGCCTGCGGTGTCCAGGGCCCACAGTGACAAGGTCTGGGACCTGGGACCTTTTGTAGGAGATTCAAGGAAAGAGGCAAAAACAATACAATCTGAACAGGGGACAAGAAAGCACTTGGATTGGTTCAGCTCAGACTTGAATTAAACCATTCATTAAAGCTCTGAATTTCCTCTAAGCATTTGGCAGTAATTTCACCCACAAATGGCTTACAGTATCACTTAATTTCCCATTAGAACTTTGGAGGAAATACCAATGCTAAGAACAAAATGAAATAATGGATGTGTAAGCACCTAGCTCAGTGCCTGGTACAATGTTCGGCGCCTGGTTGAATTTGAAAAACAGTAATAATTTCTTTAACCAGGGATAAAGCATTTTTTTATCAACACTTAATAGCAGTGTTTGAATGGGGATGTTAATTCATCTGTTCGTTGCTTCGGTCTCAAATACATGGACTCCTGGGCATGCGAGGGAAGGCATGCACAGGGCTCCTACACCCTACCAACTTAGCAGGAAGCAAACCAAGAGAGTTCAACTCAACTCTCTCTCCTAACCTCCAAAACTGGTAATGCTTCAGGAATGGGACAAGTCTAAGATGGAGCAACAGGATGAAAAAAAAATTCACATGAATCCATTCTCCCTCCTCCCCAGGCTTATCCATACTAGGATTAAAAATGCTAAGGGTACAGTAGACCTCATGGAAACATGACTAATTTATCGTGGATTTAGGGAAAGAGTTATAGGCTCCTTGCACATCATCTGCACTCTCAAGAGTAAAAGAGATTGCCAGACCAAGACAACTGTATTGATGAAGGCTTGTTTTCCCAAAGGATGACACTTTACACAATGGAGCTTAGTTTTATGAGCCTAAATGGAAAAAGCTTCCCAGTAGATGTTGAATTCCTCCTTATTCATAATTTGCTCAGCTTAATGGTCTGCTTCGTATGCCACCTGAGCCACCTGAAATTTTTACTTTTTTAAGATCTTATTTATTTCTTTGTCACAGAGAGAGAGAGAGCATGCACACAAACAGGGGGAGTGGCAGGCAAAGGGAGAAGCAGGGCCTCCCCGCTGAGCAAGCAGCCGGATGCGAGACTCAATCCCAGAACCCGGGGATCATGACCTGAGCTGAAGGCAGACACTTAACTGATTGAGCCACCCAGGTGTCCAAAGATTTTACTTTTGATGTAGCCCTTTGGCTTTGAGCAGTAGCCCAGGCTTCATTTCCTGGGTGCTTTCAGCATTATTTATTTTTCTTGGATCTTATTTTCTAAAACGCTGCTGTCCTAGATTCTACTCCCCCCTGGAGCCCATGTTCATGCTTTAAAACTGATTAGGTGGTTTCTTTCCTTTGTTTTTGTTTCTGACTTTTTTTTGTTGTTGTTGTTGCTGTTGTTAAAGATTTATTTATTTATTTGATAGAGAGAGACACAGCGAGAGAGGGAACACAAGCAGGGGGAGTGGGAGAGGGAGAAGTAGGCTTCCCGCAGAACAGGGAGCCCCAATGCGGGGGCTCAATCCCAGGACCCTGGGATCATGACCTGAGCCAAAGGCAGACACTTAACGACTGAGCCACCAGGCACCCCTTGTTTCTTGACTTTTATGTTTAGTGGGAACAAAGGCCTCATGTTAGGGTATGCTGGTATCCTCTTATTATCCACTTTATTATTTCAGAAGCCTCTAGGATGACCCTAGAGAATGTGCAGGCAGAGAAGAGAGAAACTGCAATGAAGCCATGCCTTTTGCAGGATCTGTAGAGAAGACAGAAATGTCTGAATATGATCAGGCCTTCTCTCTTGATCACTAATCTTCTAGGTGTAAGGCATCTTTCTTTAGCTTACAACCATGTCTTCCCTTCTCAGAACCATTTTAAGAAGAGATTGAAAGCTTTGATGAGAGGTTCTGGGTTTGGGCTGCAGCACACCTTCAACACTCAAGACCTTACAAGTCTGCCTTAGCCTTCACCTCCTGCTTGCCCAGGGCCTCAAGGTCAACCAAAGGCGAGAGACTGAGGCCTTCTCAACTCTTTTCTTGGTGTGCTCACAACCCCACAGATGCACGTGGCCTTCTAGATTCCCAGGAATAAGTCAGAGCTTTTCAAAGCCCCCTGTGTATATCTTCTTTCCCAGATTTTCCTTTTAAGTTTCTGGCCTGGTTTGTTTGCCCCAACTGGTATCACAGCTTCAGGCAGCCAAGATGTCAAATAATTGCCATTTATTGTTCTTGACAAACGCCTTGGAGACAGAGCTTTTCCCACAGTTTTGAGTGAGGTCATGTAATTACAATGCCGTTCCTCTCACTAATTGTATTTTGTTTCAAAATATACAGTTATTTTTCATTAAAAGTATGCTGTTTATGTTAAAATGTAACTAGTGATTTTTTTAAATGAAATAAATATTGAATACATTAAATATTGATGGATTGATAGACATAACCCACATAAACAACATCTCTTTTGGGTCCTCAATGATTTTTAAGAGTGTTAAGGAATTCTGATATCAAAAAGTTTAAAACTATCAGTTTAGCTAAAAGTAAGATTCTAAGTTTAAAGGATTTTTCCTTTAACGCTTCAAAAACACTTCTACATTATGTTTTTGTATTCCATGTCATTGAAGAGAAGTGAGCATCAATTTTATTCTTGTTCCTTTATGAGTTATCTGTTCTTTCTTCCTGGAAGCTTTTAGAATTTTAAGTGGTTTTTAGTTCTTAAATTTTATGACAGTACACATAGGTGTAGGCTTCTTCTTATCTATCCTATTTTGTACTCTATGAATTCTTTCTGCTTTTGCTCATTCTGGAAAGTTCTCAGTCATTATTCCTTAAAATATTTACTTCTCTGTTTATTTTTTTCTTCTCTTTTGAGGCTTCCTATTTTTATATAGATGCTAATACAGTTCCTTTTACTATTCATATCTCTTGACTTTTTGTTCATATTTTCACCCTTTTACCTTTTCCTATAAGTGGGAGTTCCTCAAAGCAATCATATAGGGTTCTAATTTATTTTTTTATTTTTTTGAGTTCTCATTGTATTCAATTATTTTCAACTCTTTCATTGTGAAACACAGCAAACATAGAGGAAAATACATAAAATATAAAATATGTATCTTAACAAATTATTACAGAGTGAATTCTCATACAATCACCCCCAAGACTGACTTCATGGGCATGCAACCTGTGCAGTCACACAGGGATCCCCACTTAGAAGGGTGCCATTCTTGGCCTGATAACCTGCTGTCACTGTCTTAATATTTGTAATAATTTTAAAAACAAGGGGCCCCACATCCCCATGTTGTACAGACCCCACAATTTATGTAGTCCATCCTGATCACTGTCCATGCCACGAAATAAACAACTGTCATACTTCAGAAGCCCCTAGCCTGTTCCTTCCCAGTTGCAATCCCTTTCCTCCCCATGAAGGTGAGATCTATCCTGACTTTTATGGTAACCACCTCATTGCTTTATTACCTATGTATGATCCTCAATACTACAGTTTAGTTTTCCCTGCCTTACTGAACATCTCATATTATGGCACATCATAATGATTACAGAAGCCACTAAAATACTATTTGTGAAAGTTGTAGGGAATGGAAAACCTGACAAGATGGCTAATTGTCATAGGCTCTTGCTTCCTCCCCCAAACCAATGCTGAAGATGACATATTGAAAAGAGCCATGAATGGAGCTAAGGAATTAATGTAAAAAGAAGGGGACGGGACAGGTGATGATGTCCCAAACAGCATGTCACAATGGTGCACCTAACAGGGTACCTGCACAAGCAATATTGAGCAAGGTAATCACACAATGAATGTGTATGATCAATGTTCAAGGAAAAAGTACCTGGTGCCACAAAAGCAGATCATGGAGATCTGACCAAAGTATCTGAGATCTTCCCAAGAGTAACTTTCGCTCTGAGGTCTGAAGGAGTTAACTGAGGTGAGATCCCTGCTTTTGGAAAGAGCACGTCACAGCTGAAGGATTCTAAGAAGACAGCACGTAACAATCAAACAAACCCAGAGAGATAAGCAGGGTCCAGATCAGACAGGCTTTATCCCAACTGTAAAGATTTAAGATAGGTCAGTGATGCAATCCAATTTGGTTTTAAATGGTTACTTGAGTTGCAAGAGAATGCACTGGCCAGGAAAAGTAGAAAGGGAGAGACCCATCACATGGCCGCTGCAGTACTCCAGGTGAGATATGCTGATGGCTCGTCTAGGGCAGTGGCAATGAAGGTGCAGAGAAACAGATCGATTTGGAAGATATTGAGAAATAAATATCTCAATATTTATGGTGGTTGAAGCTGAAGGATGTATCCAGATTAAGAACAATGCCCAATTCCTGACATACCCATCTGGGGGAACTGCAGTGCCATTTGCTGAGTTAGGAAACGCAAAACGGGGGACATGTGGGGGCAGGGTCCCAATAGTGAGTTTGGTTCAGTTTTAGACATGGTGATTTAGCTTTCCTTCAAGACATCCGATGGAGATGTTGAGCAGGCAGTGTGGACCTCTCATGGGGCTTCTGATCACACTCAGTGGTTTATCATTTTGAAAAAAAAAAAAAATGGCACAAAAACAATATTCTCTTCATGCACCTTTCTTACTCCTTTCTCCAGTTTCTAAGGCAATTATTGAAGCCACGGACACTATTTTTACTAGGACAGTCTCATTCCCAGGCCATAACTCTGTCTGAAGGGCACTGCAGCCTGTAATCTCTGATAAATAAATATTCCCAATCCCTGGACATAATACTAACTAATACTACTAACAAAAAAAACAATAAATTTACTTCAAAACAACTTGAGGGACCTCTTTAAAGAGCACTGTATAGATTCTGAGCTCTTATTATTGGGTGCCTACAATTATATTGAATATTTTTTTAAGGTTTTATTCATTTATTTGAGAAAGGACACAAGCAGGGGGAGGGGTAGATGGAGAGAGAGAAGCAGACTCTGCGCTGAACAGGGAGCCCAACACAGGGCTCGATTCCAGGACCCCAGGTTCATGACCTGAGCTGAAGGCAGACGCTTAACCAACTGAGCCACTCAAGAGCCCCACCCACAATCATATTGAACATGGGTACTCAATGGGAATGGTGATGAGACTGTACACAGAGTTCTTTCTTACTAAAAGAGAGCAATTATGTAGAAGAATATGACTTTCTATATCAAAGACAACATGTGCATCACTTTTCCTTAAAAAGCTGCAGATGTATTCAATATGAATGTAATGCACACTAATCATTAATAATTCAAGAGTTCCCATCATACCATTATTCTAACAAAGTTTGATGACTTCCATAGCATCAGTGATCAGTGTTTGAAAGATGGACATCCATCACAAGGAGATGGGGGGTAAGCAATCTACCCAGCCAGCATGTTGGCCAAGGTCAAGCCACCCTTCAAGCTTTCTTTTTGTTCTAATACCATGTCCCTTATAGAAACATGCATTTCTTACTTGCTGTTTCTGCTTCTCCTTGCATGATACATTAAATTCTCTTAGCACCAATTATTAATTTATTAATTATCACCGAGCAAAAATCTGTTAAAAATACCCAGAGGACAGGTCCTGTAGGTTCACAGCTGCAGACCCAACAGAGTTTATGAACTTGTTGCCAATGAATTAGGAGGCTTCCATATGCTCAGAGGCCATTATCTGAACCAAAAATAAGGTTTCTAATTATTTCCATCCATAAAATGTCCAGCATAACACTAGGCTATGCTAATTTTAAGAATACAGAGTAATGTAACAGATGTTATGGGTGGGCTACTACCTAGGAGGGACAAAATCCTTCAGTGAAGGAAGCATTCTTTTTGGCATTATCATATTTCATGAGTTATGACCTCTTATTATCGAATAAGAAACAACAGTGCATTTTTGGAATGCCCTCTCCATCCCGGACTCTAAGCCAGGTGTTTTCCATGATATCTTGCTTAATCCTCACAACTTATGAGGTGCGTTTTACAAAGGCAAACCCTGAACATATTAAGAAACTTGCCCGCAGTCAAGCAGATAAGTAAACAGCAGAGCCATAAATTAATGTCCTGTCTTTGGACTACAGAACCTCTACAGGAAATAATGATAAGGAACAACTGGTAACCTGCATATATTAGAAATCTTAGAGGGGGGCACCTGGGTGGCTCAGTCGTTAAGCGTCTGCCTTTGGCTCAGGTCATGATCCCAGCATCCTGGGATCAAGTCCCGCATCAGGCTTCCTGCTCAGCGGGAAGCCTTCTTCTCCCTCTCCCACTCTCCCTTCCCTCTCTCTCTGTCAAATAAATAAATAAATAAAATCTTTAAAAAGAAAGAGAGAGAGAGAGAGAAAGAAAGAAAGAGAGAGAGAGAGAGAGAGAGAGAGAGAGAAAGAAAGAAAGAAGGAAGAAAGAAATCTTGGAGAAAAAAAAATCACCCAATGACAAAAATTTTCAATGTGTTTTTCACCTCCAATCAATTTTTGATCATCTCAGTGAAAATCTTGGGAAAAGCTCCAAATTTGCTTTACCCATTCTTTTTCTTATTTGGTGTAAAAGAGGTTAGATTAGGCTGCAAAGAACTAATGCACAAAGATCTAACATTAACTTGAGTTACAGGGAAATAATAGCCAAATAGAATTGGAGTCAACAGTGCATGTAAGCAAAGGACTTCAAAATTATTCTAATTTTCCTCTTTCTCTATGTCCAAACCAGGTTAGACGTTTCCTCAAGACAGAAGAGCATTGAATAGTACCACATCTTCACAATGACTTTCTTTCTTGGTCATTTTATTGTTGAAACCACTTGCTTTAGAATATCTCTGCCACAACCATCATTTTCATTCTTAGTTTTTAGATTTTTAAATTTGGGGGGGGCGGTTTCCATTGAAACCTTGGCTTCATATAATATCTTTTCTTACAAAACTGAAGAATCCTCTGTTATGTAAACATACTGGTTCTGTGAGGGTGCTCTCTCAGGGTCTTGGCCACTCTGAAAGTTATCTTATTCTGGGGGCAGGTCACAGACAAGATCGGGTGGCCACATGATCCCTTTCAACATCATCTGCCTTGACAACTTCTGGAATAGAAGTGTGCCCAAGGTCCTCCCTATTTCTCCCTGGTCCACCCACAAGATTAATCCTTTCCCAATATCAGAGGATACAGGAGTCAGCTCTGAGTATCCCTCTCCAATTGGGTTCAAATGAGTTGCATCTAGAAGATATTCTTGGGTGCCTGGGTGGCTCAGATGGTTAAGTGTCTGCCTTCGGCTCAGGTCATGATTGCAGGGTCCTGGGATCAAGCCCCACATCGGGCTCCCTGCTCGGCGGGGAGCCTGCTTCTCCCCCTCCCTCTGCTTCTCCCCCTGCTCATGTTCTCTCTCTCTGTATCTCTGTGTCTCAAATGAATAAATAATAAAAAAAAATTTTAGAAGATATTCTTTAACCTGTGGAGGGGCATTGAGCTGTTTCCTAGTTTCATTATAGATACTGCCTCTCTATATTTGATTCTTTTTGTTCATTTCTGTAGTTTTCAGGCAGAGAAATAAGGTAAACTTGCTTTTATTATCTTTCTAGAAATTTATCTAATTTGAATATTTAAATATCTGATAAAATAATTGAATATTCATAAAAATATTCATTAAATATTGTATATTTTAAAAGATACAGCAATCCACTTTTGAATATCAAGAAAAGATACTGGGGGGCGCCTGGGTGGCTCAGTTGGTTAAGCGACTGCCTTCGGCTCAGGTCATGATCCTGGAGTCCCGGGATCGAGTCCCACATCGGGCTCCCTGCTCAGCAGGGAGTCTGCTTCTCCCTCTGACCCTCCTCCCTCTCATGCTCTCTGTCTCTCATTCTCTCTGTCTCAAAAAAAATAAAATAAAATAATCTTTAAAAGAAAAAAAAAGAAAAGATACTGGAGCATCTGGGTGGCTCAGATGGTTGGGCATCTGCCTTCAGCTCAGGTCATGATCTCCAGGTCCTGGGATCGAACCCCACATTGGGCTCCTGGCTCAGCGGGGAGCCTGCTTCTCCCTCTCCCTCTGTCTCTCCCCCTGTTTGTGCTCTGTCTTTCTCTCTCTCTCTCAAATGAATAAATAAAATCTTCAAAAAAAAAAAAAAAAGAAAAGATACCAAACATGCAAACACCTGAAGCCTCTTCTGATAGTCATTGTTGAGAGGACTTACCTAAGCTTTGTTCGTGTGAACCTCTGACACAAGCTTGAGAAATCATGTCACTCACTCCCTCTTGCCAGGAGTACTGGTCTTCTCTGCATGTGCTAGAACCCTGCAGGAACACAGAGATAGCAGGGAGGGTAACTATTCAAATTGCACATACTATAGGTACGTATCAATGATGGTGTGGTGAACAGGTAGGTAAATTAGTTTGAACTATGAGCAGGAACCACAAATGAGTGGTTTGCACGCCATCTAGAAGGAATTACTTGAAGAGAGGCAGCAATGAATTTCAGAGCGTGAATTCCATAGACACTGCTTATCAACTGAACCTGGACCACAGTATGAACCAGCCCCGCCACGTGGCCTGGGTCACCAGACTACACCATAACCCTTGACACAGTGGGCTACCTGCTTCTCTATAAGGCCCACAAATAGCCTTCTCTCTGAACTTTTCCATTTCCGCGTGTCGATGTTATCCATCCCTCCACATCCAACTCAAATGCTGTCCTCTCCAGGAAGTCCTTATCATCACTTTGTCCAGTCAAAATTAACCTTTCCCTACTTTGCATCTCCATGTTACCATCTGCCCTATATCTTCCATCCATTCGGTAATTATCAGTGAGCACCTACTATAGACCAAGCCCTATTCTAAGGAGTATAGCTACAGTGCTGAAAAAGGCACAGTTCTTGCTCTAGGAGCTCATCTTCAAGCAGATGATACAAAGCAACAATCAAAAACAATTTCATGTCAAGGGCAGTGTGACGGTGTGAAGAAAAATTAAGCTAGGTAAAGGGTAAGATGAACTGAATGACCCTGGAAGGGGTCTGGAAAGATCTCTCTGAGTAAGTGACATTTGAGCTGAGACACAAATGGAGTGAGGGAGTGATCATGGTAAGGTGAGTAGAGAGCTTCCCAAGCAAAGAGAAAGACCTTGCAAAGACCCCAAGGCAGGGGCGGAGCAAGATGGCGGAGGAGTAGAAGACCTGGATTTCGCCTGGTCCCAGGAATTCAGCTAGATAGGGATCAAACCATTCTGAACACCTACGAACTCAATAGGAGATCAAAGAAAAGAATAGCAGCAACTCTCTGCACAGAAAAGGGACCACTTTCTGGAAGGTAGGACGTGCGGAGAAGTGAAGCCGAGGCAATATTCGGGAGGATAGACGGCGGGGGAGGGGGTCTCCTTTGGCCGCTTCTGGCAAGTGATAGAGCCAAGGAGCACAAAATCGGAACTTTTAGAAGTCGGCTCCACTGAGGGACATCGCTCCAGTGGCTAAGCGGGGGGTGGAACCCTCTCGGGACAGTGTGGTCTCAGGACCTTCGGGGTCACAGAAAGGCCGGGGGTGCCTGAGTGCGGCAGAGCTCCCAGGTATTGGAGAAGGGAAGCTGGCTGCAGAGACGGAGCTGAGGCACGGGCTCTCAGCTCAGGGTTGCCATAGACCGTGATCCGCGGCATAGTCGGGCCACTGCTCCTCCAGCAAGGACCCAACAAGTGGGAGATCTGGGGAGACTCACCTTCCTCCCCCGGGAGGAGCGGTGCGGGAGCACACAGCAGGGATCTGCTGGGTTTGGAGACTCCACACCAAGTCAGGTGCCAGAGATAGAAACGTGCAGTCACAGGCCAGGTGAGCACGGAGTGCGGCCGGAGACTGGGGAGATGGGAGTGACTGAGTGCTTTCCTCTGGGGGTGCACTGAGGAGTGGGGCCCTGAGTTCTCGGCTCCTCCAGGGTGGAGATTGGGAGGCTGCCATTTTCACTCTCGTCCTCCAAAGCTGTACGGAAAGCTGGTGGGAAACAAAAGCTCCAGAGAGCAAACCTGAGCAGATTACTTAGCCCAGACCGGGCAAGGGTGTGGCATTCCGCCTCCGGCAAAGACATTTGAAAACCACGGCAACAGGCCCCTACCCCAGAAGATCAGCAAGAACAGCCAGCCAAGACCAAGTTTACCAATCAATGAGAACGGCAGAACTCCAGCACTAGGGGAGGACTGCACATAGAATCCATAGCTTTTTTACCATGATTTTTTAGTCTTTCAAAGTTAATTTTAACTTTTTTTTTTTTGAATTTTTCTTTTTCCCTTTTTCAGCCAACATCTTATCAATCCCCTTTTTTAAAAAAATTTTTAGGAGGGGGGAAAAATGGCAGAGAAGTAGGGGACCCTATTTCAACTGGTCCCTGGAATTGAGCTGGATATCTACCAGACCATTCTGAGCACCCATGAAACCAGCCTGAGATGTAAGAAAATCTGGATCTCTACAAACAGAATATCGTAAGCTGTTGGTTTTGAGGTAGGAAGCGGGGAGCCATGATTCTGCGGGCAGATATCGGAGGATAAACGGCAGCGGGAGGGTGCCTGGCCGTGGGGATCCTACACCGCCAGTGAGTGACAGCCTCCCGCGCTGAGGACAGGCACAGACTCGCAGACCGGTAGTGGCGGGGAAAGGACTCTAGGGCAGCCCCCGGGCAGAAACCCAGAGCCACGGGGCCACGCGCGTGAACTGGGAGCAACTGGCGGTTTTAGAAGCACAAAGGGCAGAGACCTGCCCCGACCTGGAGGCAGGACTGGGAGAGCTGTGGAGGGGCGCACAACCCAGGACGCTGCAGTTTATAGCAGCACAGACAGAAATGGAGACGGTGTGAGAGCTTACTGAAGAACAGACTGTGATCTCTCTGCTCTGAGGCAGAGGGTTGGAAACGGTCTCTTCTACTCTAACTCACACTCACGGAAGAGATGCGGAAAGCCACCAGAGAACAAAAGCCCCAAAAACTGATTCCCCCTGAGGCCATCCCCCGCCACAGGGGCACAGGGCAACTCTGTCCAAACAGGGTAGCCTGAGTAACAGTGTGGCAGGCCCCACCCACAGAAGATAGGCTGGGAAAACAAGAGGCCAGCAACCCTAAGGTCCCAAGAAAACAGGTGCATCTTGCTTGGGTTCCGGTCAATAATTTGGACTCTATACATTCCCTCAAACACCCATCAACAGAATGACTAGGAGGAGGAGGCACCAAAATAGAAAAGACTCAGAGATTATGACTTATGCTGCAGATTTACAAATGGATGCAGATATAACCAAGATGTCGGAGACGGAATTCAGGCTAGCAATTGTGAAGACAATGGCTAGAATGGAGAAATCAATTAATGGCAACATAGAGTCTCTAAGGGCAGAAATAAAAGGGGAATTGGCAGAACTTAAAAATGCTGTCAGTGAGATCCAATCCAATCTAGATAATCTAACAGCTAGGGTAACTGAGGCAGAAGAGAGAATAAGCGACCTGGAAGACAATATAATAGATAAAAAGGGAAAAGAGGAGGCCAGGGAAAAACAACTCAGAATCCATGAAAATAGAATCAAAGAAATAAGTGACACCATGAGGCATTCCAATGTCAGAATCATTGGAATCCCGGAGGGAGTGGAGAGAGAGAGAGGACTAGAAGATGTATTTGAGCAAATCATAGCTGAGAACTTCCCTAATCTGGGGAATCAAACACACATTCGAGTCCTAGAGGCAGAAAGGACCCCTCCCAACATCAAGGAAAACAGGCCAACACCCCAGCATGTAATAGTAAAACTTGCAAATCTTAGAACCAAGGAAACCATCTTAAGGGCAGTTAGGGGGAAGAGATTCCTTACGTACAGAGGGAGGAACATCAGAATAATGTCACACCTATCCACAGAGACCTGGCAAGCCAGAAAAGCCTGGCAAGACATATTCAGGGTACTAAATGAGAAGAACATACAGCCAAGAATACTTTATCCGGCAAGGCTTTCATTTAGAATGGATGGAGAGATGCAGAGCTTCCACGACTGGCAGAAACTGAAAGAATATGTGACCACTAAGCCAGCCCTGCAAGAAATATTAAGGGGGGGTTCTATAAAAGGAGAAAGACCCCAAGAGTGATATACAACAGAAATTTACAGGGACAATCTATAAAAACAATGTCTTCACAGGCAACATGATGACAATTAATTCATATCTTTCAATAATCACTCTCAATGTGAATGACCTAAACACTCCCATAAAACGGTACAGGGTTGCAGATTGGATAAAAAGACAGGACCCATCCATATGCTGTCTACAAGAGACTCATTATGAACCTAAAGATACATCCAGACTGAAAGTGAAGGGATGGAGATCCATCATCCATGCCAGCGGACCTCAAAAGAAAGCTGGGGTAGCAATTCTTATATCAGACAAATCAGATTTTAAACTAAAGTCTGTAATAAGAGACACAGAAGGACACTATATCATTCTTAAAGGGTCTATCCAACAAGAAGATCTAACAATTGTAAATATTTATGCCCCCAACATGGGAGCAACCATCTACATAAGCCAACTGTTAACCAAAATAAAGAGTCATATTGATAACAATACATTAATTGTAGGAGACCTCAATACTCCACTCTCAGCAATGGACAGATCATCTAAGCAGAAAATCAACAAGGAAACAAGAGCTTTGAATGATACACTGGACCAGATGGACCTCATAGATATATACAGAACATTCCACCCTAAAACAACAGAATACTCATTCTTCTCGAGTGCACATGGAACTTTCTCCAAAATAGACCATATACTGGCTCACAAATCAGGTCTCAACCGATACCAAAAGATTGAGATAATTCCCTGCATATTCTCAGACCACAATGCTCCAAAACTGGAACTCAATCACAAGAAAAAATTTGGCAGAAATTCAAACACTTGGAAGCTAAAGACCACTCCGCTCAAGAATGTTTGGGTCAACCAGGAAATCAAAGAAGAACTTAAACAATTCATGGAAACCAATGAAAATGAAAACACATCGGTCCAAAACCTATGGGATACTGCAAAGACTGTCCTAAGGGGGAAATACATAGCCATCCAAGCCTCATTCAAAAAAATAGAAAAATCCCAAATTCACCATCTAACTCTATACCTTAAAGAACTAGAGAAAAAGCAACAAACGATGCTTAAGCCATACATTAGAAGAGAAATAATTAAGATTAGAGCAGAGATCAATGAATTAGAAACCAGAGACACAGAAGATCAGATCAGCAAAACTAGAAGCTGGTTCTTTGAAAGAATTAATAAGATCGATAAACCACTGGCCAGACTCATCCAAAAGAAAA